TCTGATATTTATAGAAATAATTTTATTTTTTAATCCCAATAACCTTTATCCTAATGAGTAAAATTTCAAGACAAAGCAAGAAGTCCTACTTCGAAAAGTACCACTGTATTTCTTAAAACATAAAGATTGATACAGGTGTTATATATCTATACTTCTTCAACGTTTTCTGCAAAATTCGTTTACTTTTCACATATGGACTATTGCGCCTCTGATCTCTTGAAAATAGCTCTTTCTAAGCGCAAACCCACCACAATTGATGGACTCTGAAAAGTAATGGAAGAGGAATGGAAATCAGTGCTCCTGTAAATTTTACTGAAAGCCTTTCTATCATGAAAATCACAATGCAGACTTATTGTCAAGGAAAATGGTTATCAGCTCGAACATTTAACGAAATAATCTTTACGTTTTAAAATTAATTAAAAGTCGTTCTAAAAATGTACAAGCACCCTCTGTATTATCTATTTATTTACAAAAACACAGCTTTCTACATATAATCCACACATCCTTTAAAAATTTTAATATCACTAAATTAATATAGAAATTAGTCTTGAACTTTTATTCTCAGAACTTCGAGGAAATTGAACATGGAAGTTTGCCAAGGCATCCGATGGATATCTCAGGTACTAAAGCAGATAAATTGGAATCGCTGTCTTGAATATTCTTTTACAGAATAGTACCCTGAAGGTAGCATGTACAGTAGTATTAACTGACTCCTTATTCATTTAGCCAGAAAGTGGAAAAATTACATGATAACGAGTATCTGATGATTTTAAATGCTGTTGAAACTGATTGATTACAAGGCAATAATAGTTAATAGTTTAAGGTAAAAATGGACATAACTTCCTTTCTGCACATGTTTGAAAAGTGTAAGAGTCTTTGTTTATACATGGGATATAAATAACAGAGGATATTTAGGAAGTCTAGTAATTAGATTTAGAAGCTAGGGAGGAATAACACTTTCTGTAAAAGTAATTAAATAGGCTTTGCTTGCTTAAATAAAAAATTGTATATTCTACAAATACTTCATTAGTATGAACTCTATAACTTTGAACAGCGTACTTAGTTCGCTTTCTTTTTTCGAACTCGGTTATGGGGAAACTCATTTATGTGGAACTCAGATATGTGAAAATAGGAACTCAGTACACATAGCTCAGTTATCTAGAAATAGCCTTCCTTCATAAACAGGGCATGCAGACACATATATGACTCGAAGAGACATTGCCTAGTAACTGGAAGCTCCCGGAACATCTTCGCATCACCCCTTTATACTTCCTTGTACGAAGTGAAAAAGAAGTATTGTAATCGCGAAAAGTTTCAGGCAGCATATTTCAACGAAAATATCCATTTTGACAGCTATCGAATGCAATTTAACGATGATTTTGCATGACATCTGTAAATATCTGTAAGGAAAGAACATCTGTAAGGAAAGAATAAAAGCCTCTTTTCCTCCAAAAAAGTTATAACTGTTTTAAAATGAATTCTGAAGAGAATTTTTCGTGGCGTCTGTCTCAGCGATCTCAGTTTCGTTACTCTTATATGTTTGTAAATTGTGCAATTTTTCCTTAAAAATGGCTGGATTGGATTATTTAATTATGGCAAAGCACACGAGGGCTATTTGCCTAAAGGGAGGGATGCCTTCGTGGAGGACTTTCTAAGGGAAACTGGCTCTTATACACGTTACACATGGGGAAAACCACGAAAACACCCCTGCAGCCAGCCCGTTCGCGGGATTCGAACATCGGACCGAACTACCAGTGTTCGGCGTCTTTACCGCTCGGCCGCTGGTGGGCCTTTTGAAAATGGTTGAATTATGTTATTCTTTTCTTCCAGTTAAGGTTTTTATGCCTTTAGTAAATCTGCAATCTGTACAATTATCAACGATTTAAAAGCTATTTAAGTGCGGTTAAGAATAAGTTTTAAATAACATGGCAGACATATTTGTTTACATTGCAAAAAGCAAAATAGTATATTTGTTGCCAAATCTAGAGAGATTAAGCTTCGCAACAGCAAAGATAGCGTCTTCATTTATTATTGCGAATTATATCATGCTTAATTTTTTCTGGAATTTTTTTTCGATGAATTAAGTGTTTAGGATTTACTTTGTACTTTTTAATATAGATATTTTGAGTTTTTATGTATTTTGCCTTGTCGAAGTGAGAACTGAATTAATTGAATGAATACCAAATACGTCTGTGAAAAACTGTTTCTCTTTTGTTTTGTTTGCTTAATTTCTTTTATACATCGTTCTAGATTTATTATTGTATTTGAATATAACATGTGGCAACGATTAACTAATTCTTCAAATGATATAAATTTTGTACATTCTGAGTGATAATATGAACGACATATAACGCTGTTAAGTGAACCTAGCGCCAGAGTGTCGCTATAGTAAACAAATATAGTTAATTTAATGAGTGCATTTAGTCTATTGTGGTTTATGCGCTATCGACGAAGTAGATTTAATTCAATCTAATAAGTTTAAATGAAATGCAAGAAAAATTAGTTTAATTTAATATTCCGTACAAGGAAGTCATGTGGTGTACATATCAGATTTTTTATTTTTTGCTGCAGGTTTCCATAAAAAAATCAAAAAAAAAAGTTAAAAAGATAAACTGCGCACTGGGGAGAGAATCACCCAGCCTATGATCCCACTAGTAAAACATGTTTAGAAACCCAGTTTGGAGAAAAATGTAGATAATGTAGCGCACACAGCAGTGTAGAAGTGATATTTTGAATTTTTAACTAACACGTACTTAAATAATGATTTATTGTTCTTGTTTTTGTAATGGTGTCTAACATCAAAGAAACACATTATATATACTTATTCTGCGGCAACATGAAGTTCTACTCAGCGAAAGAATGATTGCGACGTGTTGCTGGTTGGTTAAATAAAGGTGTTCAATTTTGGCATTTCTAAATTCGTTTGTGTGTGGAAACACATTTCATTATGTTTCACGATGAAATCCACAATTAGTTCCAAATTTACTTTTATAAGAGTTCTTTCTCACTGTATTTGATAAAAATGTTCAGATCTACTAGCCAATATATAAAAAGTGAAAAATAAAATCATTCTTGAAAGTAAAGCAGTATCAAGCATGCTCCATTTATTCTGAATAATGGCAACAGATGCAGATAACCTTCGGAGAAGGCGTAAGGACTAATTGTCTACTTGTTTCTCTGAGCTCTTTTTCATATCAAGACTAAGAGGATGACGAGCGATGTAATAATTGTGGTATCGCTTCTCATTAAGAGTGAGTAAATATTGGAAAAGTAGTTGTTGTGGTGTGTTAAAATTAGAGTTAAGGTCGATGAACGGAAATGATAACTAAGGAAAAGAAGTGCGAAGATATAAAAGTTATAATTTATCTTATTAGAAGTCTAAAAAAATAATAAGAAAAAGACTTTTGTTTAACATCATTGTAGTTTATTTATCATATCTAATACATATGTTGCGTGTTTTATTCACTTTCTGAGCAGACAAGAAAAATATCAACACGAAATTTAATTTTAATTATATGAATTCTAAAATATATTCATTCTTCAAAAATAAAGGAAGTTTAACAAAAGCATTACCGTAGTTTCTTTATAAGCATTTCCCTCCAAATCGCTTCAGTTATTATATTCGAAATGTAATAGAAATAACCAACTATGCCTGAAAAATGCAAAAAGATTATTTATTAATTTTGATAATCCTATCTGCACGATACAACACCCAATTGATTGTTCGCTAGGCTTTCAAAGCGCAAATAGGTCTCTTACGACCATAAGTCTTATTATTTTAACCGCAGCAGAGGAACATGTTTAATTGCCCACTTTTTGAAAAATGAGTTTTTGCGAGCGTTGTTTCTTTTGTGTTTACAGATTGCAACCGGCCCTAAATTAAATCACTACACTGTATGATTAATGGCATCTGCCGAGAGAAAAAAAAGCGCGGACCCCTTATCTGAAGTATAATAGGGCGTTTACCTGATTTGAAGCCCACCCCTAGCCCTGACCCGGATGATTTACAACAGAGCCTGCTTTAGAAGAATATCAATCCACGGATTCCTTTTTTAAGAATATATTTTTTTCCTTCATTGTTGTTTTCTGCATGAATAATTGAATGTGCAAAAGGGGGCTGAATAGGCTGCACTAATGAAGGCAATTTAGCAAAATGAACGTTTATAATTATAGGATTGTTATGGTGGGATAATTTATGTGTTCAATATTGATTCACTTTAAAGCTTTCGGAGTCAGTGTCTGCGGGAGGAGCAGAGAGAAACACTTTATGAAATAATTAACTCTTTCAGTTCTCCCTTTGTGGCATTTATCTCCACTTTGACTGTATTGCAAAACGGATCATCGTCATATAGCACGCAGTTTTTAAGTTAGGAAGATATGGAAATAATGTAAATAGTAATGCTTCCGGAACACTTTCGTTGCATTCAAATACCATATAATTTATATTTTTCAAAAGGAGTTATTGCGCAGCTGTGAAGTCTAAGCTTCCAGCTATAAATCATTAATGGACTTGGTGAGAAACGAGTAGCATGAAAATATTTTTAAAAATATATTTATCATTGAATTCTAATATATTAATAATCATTGCGAGAAAAATCAAAGGGAGGTTTATGCAAGGAAAAATGGGGAAAACAAAGACCGTGTCAAAGATCATGGAAAATTTAATGAGTTTTCATTAATTCTGTGCTGATGAATGGAGTCGTATAGAAGTCTAAACTTCCAGCTATTTATTAATGAACTTAGTGAAAAAACGAGTAGCATGAAAATATATTTAAAAATACATTTGTTATCGAATTCTAATATAGTATACGAAAATGAAATTGTACAGCTGTCTCTCTGACTGTAATATTAATACTCATTAAGAGAAAATCGAAGAGAAGTTTATGCATTCATGGAAAATTTTATGAGTTTTTTAATAAGTTCTGTACACGTGGAAGGATATATCATTTTGTTATTTGAAGTTATTATTAACATATAATAAATAATAAAATAAATTTTACCTCCTTCATCTTTGTATTGTATAGTAAAATGAGTTATTGGACTATTTCCATTATATTGCGGAGGTGACCAGGATAATTTCACACTGCGACTTGAACTTTCCACAACTCTAACGTCTTGTGGTCCATCGGGCGGTTCTGGAAAAACAGCAGACAGTAAAAATGCTAATTAAATGAATAAAAACATTATTTTTCCTGTTATAATCTAAAAAGAACATTAGCTATATTGTGCCTTGTTTCGTTTAAGTTTTCAATTTTCAATTTCTACTGTAATTTAGAAATATGACATTTTAATACTTGTGAGAAGCATAAATTTGTAAGTTATATGCAAGATAGTGATAATAGCATAACTACTTCTTGAATGTAAAAATCTAAAATCCTCATGATAGTAATTACATAATGTGGAAGCGCCGTATTTAGATCCTTTTTTTTTCTAATTTATAACAAGCGTTTAAATTCATTAAAGTAGGCTCATAATTTTACATTTTAATTCAAATGATTTCCGATTAATGAAATATTATTACTGTAATCATAATGATACAAAATTATTGAATTAGTTTTCATAACAGATTTAAAATCCTTAATTTCTTTTTTATCAACACAAATAAGCTACGCTATTCGAGAAAGACTTCTAGAAATAATTTAAGGAGCTACTTTATAACTACTCAGATTTTTTTATTTCTTCAGCTTTGTGACAAAACAAATGAAATTTAGACTTCCAAGAAGTAGGAAAACCAGATATAACAATCAGATAAAGTACTCGAGTGATTTTTATTGTGATTTTGAGTAAGCCATTCTTACTGCTTAACTAAGTTCTGAGTCTTGCATCGTAATTTCACACATACTGCAAATTTGTCACATATCTTTTAGCTCTTTCATGGCAAATTAAGAATTAGTTTAATTACGCGTGCCATATGTCTGTTAGCCAATAAACTGCTATTGTTATTATAATGCAAAGCATACATTGGCTGTATTTACAATTAATAATGAATAATTCAAATTTAGTAACCTTAATGATAATTCTTATTTATTAGGTTTTTGAGACATAATATAGATGTATGCATGAAGAATATACGCAGACGCGGATTAAAATTGAATTAAATTTCTTGATGCAAAGAAACGGGTTTGGGTATATGAAATTCAGTATACTACGGTCGAGTACGCTATAGCGAACTCCCGGATTTAACGAACGAGACTTTTGGTCTTTTCTAGTGTCTTACATACTTCATATTATTTTGAAGTATCTATATATTTATATTACGTCATAAGTGAACCTCAAAGAGCATAAAAATCAGATATAACAAACGGTATGAATATCTTCGATCGAAAACTTTCTTTTTCTTTTTCATAAATTTTTCTAGAATTTCTGCAAGTTTTAATGTACAGTTACTAACCCTTAAAATCATACACGTTTAGGATATTAAGATTCATATTCCGTTGATATTCCTCATTCTGTCTGTAAAGAAAATCACCTTTGTCTTATTTTTTATTTATCTTCTCCATGTTTCTTTGTATCCTAAATAGAGGGTATGAAATAGGTGTGGCTTCTGTAGGTGAACGAGGAAACAATAGTCATATATTAAAAGACCATGTGGCGTACATGATCATTAGACTAGAAAACTGAATACATTTTCTGATATATTCAAATTTCTTGTATGAGCTGCCAGATAGAGCAATGCTGAGATAGAAATCTAGGAAACTTCGCTATCCACATAAAGAGGAAGTTCTGAATGTTATGTGTTTGCTGGATTTGTGAGTTAATTCTGCTTATAGGGATCGAAATATTTTGATTCTTATAAGTTTGGTTTGAGTATAAATGCTAACTACGATCTATCCTCCAAGTAAGATTTTTTGCATTCTTTGGATCTTTTGCAAGACTTTGGGTCTTTTGTTATTCTTTATACATAATGATAAATCCTTATGGCGGACCATACATATTTTGAGAAAATTGATTGTGTTCTCATTGGACATTGGATAAGATATGTAGGTGATGAAAATAGCTCCCCTTTTCATATTTTCTAGAAGAAGAAAACTTTCACATATTCTTTTACCAAACTCTCTCCAAAAGCCCTGTCTGTTTTTGTGTCAAAACCGCATTCGCATGGCGAGTTATAAACGTAATTCTCATTAACGATTTTTTAAAATTAGATTTATTATTCATTTCCTTGGGTAGATGTAACAATGTTAATTGGTTTTTCTCTATTTATCATTTAACGTTTGTACGATTTTGAAAGATAATCTATTTTTCTTATCGTATAGGAGGTAGAGAATCAACGGATAGCTAGCTAAACTTCGGTCACTTGAAGGTCATTATAGCGGGTTGGATTTTATTAAAAATATCATTTAAGATTTCTAGATTCTTCCTGTACAGATTACAAATACTATTGCTTTTCGAAAAATTAAAGGATACTTAGCGAACGAAAGACAGTAGTGTAAGAAGGTCATTTCTTAAGTGTCAATATAAAGCCTAGAATGGATCAAATTCAAATGTTGCCGTTGTGGCATTAAGCAGATTTCTTCACAATTTATTTCCAGCTGCATCCTAAAATTTTCTAGTTAATTTTTATTTAATTTCTTCTTCTTCTAGTTTTCTGCTTTCGAATTGCTGTCCAAACGTCTAAGTGTCCAGTTTTCCCTTAACTTTTTACCAAAAATGCAAGAAATAATGGTTTTGTTATTCATTTATTTTCACAGACATAAATGTAGCTACCATTTTATTAATTTCGCAGCAGATAGAAAAGATGACCCCAGAAGTGTGGAAAGCTGTTTAACTCTGTATTTAGTCAACATACGTCTTATAATTCTTGTGGTTAAAATAAGCAAACTGAATAGATAAAAGCAATTGGTAGCTTGATGATTTGTTTCTGCTCAGGATCTGAAACGAACTCCTTCCTTTCCTAGATAACTAACATTTTAATCATAACATTTTTCCTTTGAATATGCGGCCTCTTCCAAATTTCGTGCGCACAACATCCTAGGAGATATCTTAAATATTAACATAGTCGTGAAAAAACGCAGCTTAAATAATATATTTGTCTAGTTATGTACCCTCAAAGCGTCGCATTTACATTAACCGTCGCATTAATATAATGCTATTTAAGAAGAATAATGGAAATGATATATCGCCTCTGTATGCTGTATATTAAATTAAGAAATCCAAGTATGTTGTGACTGGGAATATTGTCAGTATAAATGAGCTAACGCACGCAAATACTTAATTGAGAATAATTAAAACAGTTGAAAATTTTGTGATATATAACACATAAAGTAGATCAGAGGATGTAGATTTTATTTCATCATACTGCATAAATAATTAGTTATTTGTAAAACAACAAATTCTTAGAAGACTTTGAAGAATTTATTTCTCCAAAAAGGAGGAAAGGAAGATTAAAATTTTCATTTTCTGGGATATGAAGTATTATTCGTTAAAAAAATTTAGCTTTCGAGACAAAAAATTTAGCTTTTTTAAACTTTGATTGCAAATGAAATGAAGTTTTTATTAATATGAAACTTTTTAAACAATTTCTTAATCAAAATGAGTAAATGTGATGAAGGTACACAGCTTCATACAAACTTCAAAATTTTGGGGACAGAAAAATCTAAACGAAATTCATTTACCCCAAATTTCTTTGAAATGGGTCACCGTTTTAAGTAGTATAATGTCACTATACGGATGCTGTTAAGAGATTTAGAAAATTTTTGCATTATTTGATTGTAAATAACGTGATCTGAATAACTCCATGTAAGAAGTTTTATTCCTTTTAATCCTCGAGAGAGCTATATTGCTTGCCTCATTTTCTAAAACATTTTTCACAGTAATTCCTTTGTACCTATCGATTTAATTTACAATTTTATTTCAGGTCATTTTAGGCTTTTAAAAACTGATTTCAATATTACGTTTTCAGGAAGGTGTGTTAACTTTTGTGCCAGTACCTCCTACAATAGCTAGCTTGAGAGCAGCTAAACATGATACTACCGGGAAAATGCCAGCTGATTTCTTTCTTGGAAGAACTTAATTATCTCTCCGGATAAACTCTTTTTTCGTTCAAAAGAAGGCTCCAAAGTTTAAAATGACAGATATCAAAAGTTAGTCGGAGAAGCTATCCGTAATTCGAATACTGCAAGAAGGAAGCAAAAATTATATTACGATAAGAAGCACTACGAATGAAATTTTAAAGTGGGCCATAAGTTGTCAAAATTAATCATTCTCTTTCATTTGCACCTAAAGATAAATAGGAAGGTTTTGCTCAACATTTGAAAGCCCTTTCGTAATCGAAAGAATAAGTTAGGTATATATTTAAAGAAAGGTATATATTTAAAGAAGGTTAGGTATATATTTAAAGAAACAAAATGGGGAAGAACTGTTAGCAAATATTGACTAGTTGAATAAGTATAATGAGCGAATAGATATGCCTGTTTTAAATATTTTTGCAGAAATCCCACGCTGACAGGAATGCAGTACCAGCATGAAATTTCACAGATGTTCCTCCCACACTGAAAATCTGAAAGTCTCTGAAAAAAAGGGGGTACTGCAAATAAGGTAACACAGAACAAAAAGCCAAGGGTTGAAATATCAAACGGAAATGAGCTGCAGCAGGAAAAGGGGCCAGACTCAACATCCAGCATAGTTCTGAAAACAAATTGCAGAGTAAAATGCTCCATTAGATCAAGCAAGCGACCAACGGGGAATCAGTGCTAGCTGAAGGGTCAACGAAAAGGATTCAAGTATCCGAGAAAAAATATTAACGACGGTTCAAAACGCCGAGCAGAGGGTGTTTCACCAAATTGTACATGAACCAGAGTGCGGGTCTGGCGAACCAACAGACGATGGTTCTGCCGACGACGATCTTAGAAAACAAGTCACGTTTTCTGGGTCGACAATACCAGTAAACAAGTCACGTCATTTATAAACAAAAGTTAACAAAACGATGGTGCATATATGATACCATTCATAAAAAGTACGAATTTTGCTGCTTGGAGTAAGTATAAAAAATATTTCCCTTACAGAAACTTAACATTACAGTGGTGGCCAAAATTGTGGACACTTTTGGAAATTTTTATGTTTTTGAAATTTGTATGCTTATAGAAAACGTTACGTTTCACAAAATGCAAACTTGTATACATCATTTTAAAGAGAATTTATTACTGAATTCAATACAAAACACAAAATTCAATTATTTGCAATACAAAAAAGGTTAAACAATAACATTAGATATACATTAGATAGTGATGATTGCAGTGAGTTATCAGTACTACTAGTAGGGTACCCTTTATTTTTGATTACAGCTTCACATCGACGTTTATTGAGCTGACAAGAGTTTTCAAACGGTGCCACAAATTTTCTATAGGATTGAGGTCAGGACTGTTTCCTGGCCATGACAAACAATTAATACTCTTTGTACGAAACCACTCTTTCGATTTTGGCTGTTGTGGCAAGGAGCAGAATACCGGAAAAATAAACGAAGCATTGTTGGAAGAGATCTCTATGGAAGGTAGAAGTTTTGGTTTCTAGAATAGTCAGTATTTTGGCATTCAGCGTCCCATTGATGACATGAAGGCGACCAATACCATCTGCGAAATGACCAAATCATAACCTAACTGGGTTCTTCACAGTTGCTTGAATGGCAGTCAGATGTAGCTCTCTCCTATTCTACGTCTTACGATTTCGCCCATCACTACTGAATACGATATCTTAGTTCATCACTCCATATAACTTGTGACATGATCATCTGTCCAATTAATGGTTCCTTTGTCACTGCTTCTTTTTTTTCGTTGCTGAAAAAGTAAGATAAGTCTTTTTTGTGGAATGCTCCCTTCCGTCCAACATCTGTTAATTTTCTCCGATGTTCTTGAACTGACAGAAACACCAGCTCATCAGATCACTTTGATGTCGCTGATGACATTTTTTCTATCTTTTAGACACAGTCGTTTTATTCTTCTTCCATCAATAGATGTGGTGCACCTTTTCGACCTTTTCCTTCTTTGTTTGTATTGAATTTGTCTTCTGATATCGTAAACAAAGCTTTCGGACTCCAGATGTGGTCATGAACCACCCACCTGTTTTGCAATTTCAGCATAGGAAGACCACTTTCTCGTAACACAATAATATTACATCTCTTTCTAGGTGTTCTATCTACTCTTTTATTTGATGTTATTGCTTCTTGACTAAATATTAAAAATTTTTACAAAAAATCCTACTTGTAAAGAATAACTATAAGAAACAGGTCCTCCTTCTACAGAACAAAGTAAAATAATGAATTGTTTCAAGTGTAAACATGATATCAGCTTCTACTGGCAGTTACTAACATTAGATTGGTTCTCAGACAAGAACATGATTGGCCAGGAAAGCTGACATCACAAACCACTTCATAACTGTGTTTTTATTTATATTAAAGTAACATATAACCTGTTTTGTGTTGCAAATAATTGAATTTTGTGTTTTGTATTGAATTCAGTAATAAATTCTCTTTAAAATGGTATATACAAGTTTGCATTTTGCGAAACGTAACATTTCTATAAGCACACAAAGTTCAAAAACATAAAAATTTCCAAAAGTGTCCACAATTTTGGCCACCACTGTATATTACTGGTATGATGGTTTTAATAAATTGTATGTCTCCCAGACGATGAAATACAATCCGCACAACGCCTAAGCATGCTGAGTATCAAATTGTCAATCTGTTCTTAGGAAGGATTACTCCCCTCAGCAAGTAATGCTTTCCGAAGTTCCGGTAGACATGTAGGAGTTGCTTAATGGGCAGCAATTCCTCGGCCAATCGGCTTCAAGTCACGTGATAATGTTGGTCATTCCATACGGGTGATACCCTCAGACTGAAAGCATTTCTTTACAATGTTTGCACGGTGAGGACGGCTGTTGTAATCCTTAAATACAAATTCTGCGCCCAGAGTATCCCTAAGCATTACGTACATGCTGTTCCAGAATGATGTACCGCTAAATTTCGCTTGTCATGGCTCTGATCTGAACAGACGGATCTGTTCTGGAGCTCAGTATAATTCCACCCCGAACAAGCAATACTGAACTACCGCAGCTGTGTCGTACAATGAGGTGGTAGCGGATAGCTGGAGTTCTCCATTATGAAAGTCCAAGATTGCAAGCTAAACCTGGAATCTTCGGAAAGCATCACGCAAGCCCAGTGTGACGATGTTCACACTGCATGTTGTCTACTCCAGGCTAACCGCTGGAGACAGTGATTTGCCGTGAGCGGAACACATCTGACAAGCCTGCGAGCATATGGACCAATCTGTTCCAAAGATCTGTACACCATTTGCTTTGAAACTGTCGTACACGTGGCTGAAGATAGATGACGAGAAAGGTTCGATGTTATGCTGCGTCTGCTTCTTTTGGCAGTTACTGCTCAAAACTAGTCTTTATTCGGCGTTGTAGAGCGGAAGCGACCTGTCCTGTAATGTATACTGACATTTACGTCAGTTTGGAATCATTTCCAAAGTCTAGAGGGTTATTCCAAAGTTCCTCGAATATTTCCATCCGAGTACTTCCTTTTTCCGGGCGGCCGATAATTCAAAAAGTCATCCACATGCGTCCTCTGTCAAAACTATTCTGTTGTGGCACGTAGAGGCTTACAGAAATGCTTGTGAACATTTTTCTTTCTTTGCCAAGATTCCTATATAAACTTATCTTACAGTCCCGTCATTGTGACGTACTATCGGCGTCGGCGTCATCGGATGGCTTTCTGTAATTTATATGTTATTCTTGAAGATGTGTGCGATAACTCTGAAGATAAAAGTTTTACTTCAGAGTTTGATTTCCATAAGATTCTGAATTATTCTTAATTTATGGACATGAAAGTATTTTACTTAGTCAATCAATTCCAAGTTCAATAATTAAAGTACAAACTATTTGTTTACATTAAAGAATAGTGATCTGATTATCTTAAACTATGACACCAGTTGCAAAGCATTGTACAAATTTGAGCTATTTTCCTTTGAAAGTTTTTTCATATTATAAAATGACATTCGATGGTAGCAACAGCATATTCTTCTTAATTCATTAAAAATAATGGCATTTAAACTCACGTGAAATAATACAACACAAATGTCATAATCTTCTGTGTCAAAATGCCATATAAAAATTGTTTTCAAAATACGTGAGAAGAATGAATTAAAAATGCACACGTATAAAATGTTTTCAAACCTCCCTTTATGGACTCATTTAGTTGATCGACTAAAATTAGTTATTTTATAATGATCAGCGCAACAATCTTCTGCAAATATTTAAACACCATCTAAATTCTTATAAATTATATTAAAATAAATTACACAATTTAACACAGATGATACCTTTTGTCTAACACTAAAAACAAACTGAAGAAAATTATATATATCATAAAATCTGCGAATATATTTATAGCGAGACCCTTTAATAACAATGTTCGGTGATTAAGAGGCTGGCCACAGTTCGAAAAAACGGGGACCTCAAGATCGCTTGGCATAAATGTGCCCATACCATTATAAAGATCATGTTCTAAACTGTTAAAATCAGCCTTTGTAAAGGACCGGGCATATTTATAAATAAATAATAAGGACTAAAGGACTTTATTAAACTTAATGGTCTTTCATAAAGGACTTTATTTTTTATTTTGATTAGTACGGCAAATAAAAACTATGCTTGCATATTTGTGACCCTGCATTAAAGCGCCCACACATTTAGAAAAGTTGCATTCTTTAAGTTAGAAACAGCTTTGCATAAGGTAGCGGCAACTTTATATCGCAGCACACTCATGAAAGTTTCTGTCTTTTCTAACATGAGTGACTGCCATAATTGCGCCAGCACCTTTTTAACGGGGTAAGGCCTTGATGTCGTTTCATTGCATAACGATGGCTTGGTAAAAAGATGCCGAAACTTTTATGCTGTTTTTTATTTCGTCACGAACTGACATCCGTAAGGGGAAGAGCACTTGTATGCCCTCTTTCGAATGTTGCAGTCGTTTCGAGCAGTAGCCGACTTGCAAAAAGGTTTCCAGCATTTTTATAACAGGGCAGTTCCTCCCGCTATGCAAACAGTATTTTCCTTTTCTTTATTAGAGAATGGGGAACGAAATCTCCATTTAAATAGTGATGTAACTCGTTAAAGTTGCCAGAACATTTATAAAATGTACTTTTTTACAATTTAGAGAGTAATATTCATAGTTTTGGAGGAGCCTTTAAGTTGAAGCACACTTATGAAAAACCTTGTCTTTTCGAATAATTGCCAACTTGCATAAATATGCCGCCGATACAACTTGTATAAATGTCCCGGCGATATATTTATGAAGTATTCTCCTTCCAGAAATCATTTTATTTAGCTAAAATGTTCTTCGTATAAAATTAAACATTCTGTATAAAATATTCGTTAGAAATTTGTATAAAATATTCAGTTAAAGAACTTTTGCAGCATTTTTAGGACAAAAGTCAGATCAGAATTCCATAGACCAACACTTAAATTCAAAATAAAGAATAAAGAAATGTTTCAGTTTTTATCTTCCCCCCCCCTTAAATGCTTTCTACAGTTACTCGTAGTTAACAGTGAATTATTCGTTAGCCATGGGAGTTCTAAAAATAAATAAAAATCATGTTTTTTTTAACACAAAATTTGTTTAAAAATTCAAACCTCCATCGATGTAAAGTGCATTTACATCTTCCTACAGTATTTAATATTTAATACATTTTATCATATTATATGTGATATATCTTAACAGGAATTAATCTTACCTTGAACAATGAGCTGAATATTGGTATCGTCTCTTCCATAGGCGTTGACAGCAATGCAACTAAATAGTGCAGAATCTCTTCTATCGGCTTGTCTAATTAGAATCTCGGAAACAATGCCTGAACTTAAAATAGTTTCCACAAGCTCGTACCTGTAAAAGCAAATTCTATTAAAATTTAAATTCTTTAATAACCAAAGCGATTTCATGGTCATAATATGAAAATTTAATTCACAATGCACGATATTTCACAGCCTAAAATAGTTTTCTTAGGCTTCTATACCGAACCATTGTACTTCTCCGCAAATATAATTGCTTCAAAAATGGCATATTAAAAATGATAAGATAGCAAGATTATGGAGCATTAAAACACTCAGAAATAATACAATATGTTTTACTTGAGCTCTCGCAAAGAGCTAACAGACCATTTTTAGTAAATGAATTAGACTTTAATGGCAAGTATAACAATTTAGAGTCCGTTAAACTTTCCGAATGGAAACCTCTAAATTTATGCTATCTTAATACCACTAATTTCACGAAATTGTAAATCTAGCTATATTTCAGAATACGTAATGATGCAGTTAACAGTGCATATATTAAAATCTGTGAGTGGCCTTTGAGTGAAATTTCGGTGTATTGTAATAGGTTTTTATGAGAGATTTTCTAATCTCTCATAAAATCTAAATCTCTCATAAATTCTTCTAATCTCTCAAAGTCATTCTTTTATTGACCAAAATATGATGAATTATCATAAACAGTACACTAAAATTTAGTAAATAGGTCAAGTAGTAGAATTATGTCCATTAATTATTCCTGGAAACGTCAAAATTTGAATATGAGTCAATTTAAACGATTTTATATCGCAAATCTGACTACTAATCTAAAAATTTTTTATACTCTGAAATATAGTAATATAATTAGAGAAATATAAGATAATAATTTCGATTGAATACTATTCAATCTCGTGAATGACAGCATTTGTTTCGATATTTTTGCTAATTGTATTTTAGAAGCTATTTGTACAGTTTTATGTTTAATTAATATATTATTTTGCTTGTAATATCATATCTATGGAACTACATTTGTCGCTTCCTTCCAGGATGCAAATTTGTAATGTATATATAGCCAAGTTCTTAAACTAAGAGAGAGCTTTTGGCAGCGACTACTGATCGTCTCTGCGTGTTTCGCTCAGCTTCTAAACTGACTTCAATCGGCTTTAATCTTTGATTGCTAGTGTGATTAAAGGGCCTGATCCAATACTCGTAAGCTGAAATTGTCTTGTCAATATCATATTGAATTTTGGCTTTAATTATTATTCTTATGCCTAAGTAAATTTGTTAAACTAAGAAACTAACGGAAAAGGTTAGTGTAAAACGTCTCTTGACTTGATGTCATTTTACTGAAGAATTATAAGGAAGCAATAGGATGCTTGGCTATCTTTTTGGAGCCAGAAGATATATATATATAAGTTACGGAACTAATATATATATATATATAAGTTACAGAACTAGAAGAGATAGTTCAGTATAAAATTTATAAATTACGCAAAAATATAAACATGGCTGGTTTCCGTGTTTCAGATCAATACGAATCTTAATTTCTGCTCATATGCTGCGAAAAGCATTTGATGACAGGATGTTCCGATAATACGGGGACTTTCCCTCCTTCGGTAGTAAAATCCCTCTTTTCGGCAAAGGGAAAACCCTCATGCGAGCTTTAGCTCATGTAACATGTTAGCTCTGAGCTCTAGTTTCGTAGCACCCCTTCTGAACGATTTTAAGTATTCGGGCAGAATGCCAACAAAGTTGTATTTACGAACTGTCGAACTATTCTGTCTGCTAAGAAACCAGCAAGTTAAGATCTGCAGTAGCTACTAAATATTGCAAAATTCGATGAGAACATTCCTAAGTGTAACGTACTTTAATTTCTTTCTTATGTTATGTAATTAATTATAAAATTTTCCTGTTGTTTTAAATAAACTAACATTTAAAAATAATTATATGTTAATTACATAGGTTTATTCTTATTTTAGATGTTACACATGGTATGCTTTATATTCATCCGTTTACCTTATCTATTCAGCACATGTTTAACACATTAGATTTTATTTAATTCTTCAATATATATTTAACTCATTCTTCTGCGCTTATTTTTTCAGTATTTCTGTGCAGCTTCTTTATTCGATATCAACATTTATCAGGTTCAATGTTCCGTCTTACTTTCTTTGGGAACATGCAAGGACCTGACTCGGAACAGAGAGCTTACTAAAGCTATGTTCAATAACTGTGGGAAGTAGACAGGATACACAAGAAGGGTATACAAAACCCTTTATTTTTCTCTCTTTACAATAATTTCCCTACTTCGGAATACAAAGACCCACTACTTGTGGTCTAAACGTAAGAATATAAAAATATAACTAAACGCTAACTTAACTTTGAAATAATAAACGTGGAAGATTGGCCTTATATTAACAGGAAGCCGTATGTAGTACAGAGAACTGTTAACACTACAATACGTTTAAAATTATCAAGAGGATTAAACCTCTGGCCTGGAAGGCAACCAGCAACCGAGTAAAACTTCTAAGGTAAGCGGCCTGCCTCGACTAACTCCTTCCTCTCTCTCGCTTGGCAAAAAGCCACAACTTAAGTACTTGGCGTTCGCCAGACAAATTTTGCATAAATAAGTTAACGCTTTTAATTCTGGCCGGAAGTAGAAAATAAGAAGTGATAGTAAAGATTTAAAATAAAATAAACGTTAGTAAAACTTAAGATCCTTACACATTATACATTGTGGGCCAAATGTAATTTTAAAAATTTACATGCAGGATTGAATTAGTGTTTATAACTTTTATTCTGCAAGAAAGAATTACAATATAAGGAGCATGGTAGGGGACGTTATGCATCGGAGCAATGTGATCCACGATTATTGCATTTGCTTGCTATAAAATATCTTTTGAATGTCAAATAGAATTTCATAATATTTTAACTTCTTTGTCCAGTTTTCACTCGCATATTCATTAAAGAGGTTTGGAACCATGATCAACAAATGAGAGAAGAGTTTGATAGAATAATTATAATATCATTGAAAATGCTCGAACTTCCAGAAGAAAATTAAGTCGCCCCTAAATTAGTTTTGCATAGAAATCGAGATTGTGATTCCATTCATATAAATCTTCTTTTGACTAGTAAATTGTACCTTTTATTTTCCAAGATTTTACCATCTTCATCATCTGTGGCATTCAGCTATTTTCCCGAAGCATGATCGAATTCATTTGTCAGTTCATTGTTTCATCAATAAGAACATTGTTTCCGTGTGCATAATATGATGATATTGGCATTTTACCGGCGAGAGATGACACATGCATTACGAACCATTAAATTTGCAATACTGTCATCTCAAACTATCTTATTATCGCTGCATCTATTTAAAATTATTAAACACGGTTCAAGAAAAAAAAAAAAAAAAAACAATAAGAGGATAACTACAGGTACGCATTAGAATTCGAATAATCAAACCTAAATCATTGTGATTAAGCTTCCAGTTATAACATGTACATTCGCCTAAATATGTAGGTACTGGTTATTCATAATTTACTGCTTTAAAATTTTATTTAAATATGGATATATTTGAACTGTAATTATGTAGAGTTCAGAGAGGTTTTGTTTTTATCTCTGTGATTCATTTACAATATTAACTTTTGCTTTCTTAGAAATTACCACGAAAGTTCAAGTATGCTACGAAGCCCATTCGTTAGTTAAGTAATGCAGGTAGATAGTTACTTTGCGAATAAAAGCTATTTAGCATAAACCTTCCACGATTAAAACAACAAACTACCCTATGGCGCATCCACCAGCGACCGAGTTTTGAACTGCTAGTTTGACCTGGGTTCAGTTCCAGGCAAACAAGCAGGCTGCAGAGTCGTTTTCGTGGTTTTATCCACATGTAACGTGGACAAGAGCCAGTATCCCGTAGAAAGTCTTCCATCAAGGCCATCTTAGACGGATAACTCTAGCATCCTTTGCCGTAATCAAACAAACCAAATCAAGTCTGCAGCGCCATGCAATTATGTGGCAGTAAGTATTTAATGCTGCATACAATCCAATTTTAAGTTTCAAAGGAATTCTTTCCGAACGAGTATAAATGAGCTTGTTAGATAGATTTCGAATTTTTGTGCAAGAAATTACTACGATACTTACATACTTATGTCATTAAAATATTTCTTGCCTATGCTTATATATTCAGTACTTACTCATTTGCTCAGAAATTTAATTCGCACCTCAGAACATTTGGCATTGTTATGCACTTCAGCATGTTAATTTGAAATTATAATGTATTTCTCTTTAAATTTTTATTCCTTGAATTTCCTTAGTTTTTCTTGCTATACTTAGTTCTGATTCTATCTTATTGATTTTGTGCAGGAGAAAATAACAAATGATTAAAAACAATTATGCTCGTAGGCAAGTTACAAACATTTTAAACTGACCTCCCCGTTTCGAAATATAACAAAAAATAAATAATAAACTGTATCTTTTGTGTAAATTTTCTCTTAAAAACTTTTTTTTGAAAGAAACATATAATTAAGCAATTCAGTTTAATATTAGGATGTTATATAAAGGATCTTAAATCAAAAATATTTCCGTGTTACAGACAAAACATTAATTTGCAATACGTGTTCAACAAGCAAAAATATTCGTATGCAATAATTATTCAGATTAAATTACAAGATTGTTTAAAATAACATTAAACATAGTAAGTCTAACAATGTTATATTAAACAATGTATTGTGTAACAGCGAACATTATTCAAATGCCCAATGAAATTTAATTAATGTATTAACGGTCTAAGATGCATTCTTTAAGAGCATTATTAGTTTATGTGTAAGAAATAAAAAAGACAACAGAGCTTATTGAAAGGCAAACTGTTTTGAGATTATAAAAATTAAAATTGCTGTTTCACTGCAACATTTTGGCGGGTAATATGGAGTTATACATCGGAGGTGAAAATTGCGATTATAGCGGAATGGAAAGCTTATGCGATGGAATTATTCGCACAGAAGATGGTTATTCTTTTAAAATCCACAGAGTTATCCTTTCTGAAAGATCTGAATATTTCCGAGGACTTTATAGCTTGAATGATCATTGCCCAGATATGGC